TACAATTGCTTACAAACGCCTTTTGTCAGGTAGCTTTGGATTGACTTGCCTTGGCTCCGTTTTGCAGAATGACTTCCAAATAATTTAGCTGATTACGCGCCATCTCGGACTGTCATCACCTAGGCCACTTTCAGACTCGGCTGCATCAATCCCATCTGATAATTGCGTATGTGCAGATGTGCCTTCGGAGTCTTCACACCTCAAAATTGTCATCCTCATTCTTGCACATTTCTCCACTCCTCACGCCCTATTTATTTCCATCTCCATCTCAATCTCGCAATCCTTCTCTTTTTTCCCTTCGTTCTGTCTTTAGTGCTCTATTTCGCATTAATTGGTCCCTTCTCCTCGACCTTGGCACTTTTACCCAACTTGCGAGGATACCAGCCGGAATTATCCCATTATGCCGGCCGCCAAGCTTTCGCTCCTGCTGCTGCTGTCGTCCCCGCTGGTTGTGGTTACCAGCGTTTCGTAATTCCGCCAACACTGTTGGTTCCAATGCACCAAGTACGTCATGACGATCGAATAGGTTAGTGTCAACCCAACGACTAAGGCATTTGTGCCCGTCCAGAAAAGGCCTGTCTGCCCAATTACATACAAACAGCATTAAGTGATTGTCGGATTGTCTTCATGCAAGACCTGCGTGCTCATCTTCCTCTTTTGGCCTGGCCCGTTTGGAAGGACAATTTAAGGCTTGGCTATGAGGCTCGCTGGCCACATGATGAGACCGCCTCCAGGCGACAGATTCTCTCTTTCTAGTAGACCATACTCGTGCAGCCTAGCAACAGGCCGCGAGAGACAATTCAGTTCAGGAGGCACCGATTCGTCAGAGTGACGACATCATCGTGAACCCTCTTAAATCGGGGCCGAATGCATGCGGAGCTGTGGAGAGGAGAGGATAGACGAGAGATCGACTAATGAAAAGGCAATAACGAGACACCGAATGGTGTCAGTGTGTCGACAAACCGCGAGCAGGGAGTGTGTTTAATATGGGGATAGGAGGGGAGACGTTGAAGGGGAAATATGAGCAAAGAGAGAGAGCGAGAGAGAGCTAGCGAGAGGGAAAGAGATTGAATGGGATGATGAGGTGAGAGGAGTGGAGCGATAAGATTGGGCAAATGGAGGAAACAGCATTCTCTTCAGCTCTTGCCCACTCTTGATAAACACACTCCCAAAACGCTTTTCATACCATCCCATGCTCTAATGAGTGCTTCACCCGACCCTCTGCTTTCCTGACAGGCCCAGCCCGTGCTCGAGCTCATTTACCTTTAGCCTATCTGTCAGCTCAAGCGTCGGCGTCGTCATTCGTCTCTTGACTACTCCCCCGTACTTGGGATATCCATGTGATGGGTTGAACTATAATTGGACGACTGACAGCATACAAGGGCGTCCTATCAGGCCAACTTGCAATCGTGGCTAGGGCACAAGAGACCGACACTTGAGCGTTCACGAACAAGTGGAGATTAACGAAGATTCTAGCCTCAACACGTCGATACTGGCCGAATATACATCAGAGCCAACTGCAGATGAGTAACTATGGCGAGCCTACAACGTAAGGCTTGTTGGTGTTTCCAGCAGAAGGTGGCTCAGATTCGGGCTAACCGCATACTCAAAAACTGGGACAAATGAGAAGTAATTTGTCTTTGGTTTTTGGTTCCGTGCAGCGTAGGGTCTCTTCTAAGGGTTTTGTGAATCAGCTCTATCGGAAGATACTCGCAGATTGTCCGTCCGCCAATCGGTTTGTACTCGATTGTCGTAGTTTTGAGCGCAGAAACCCTCGGCTCGAGTTCTGTTGGCATCATTGGATTACCGCGCTCAACTCGGACTTTAACTGTTTATTTTGGACATTAGTAATCATTTTGTTTCACCGGAAGTAGCATTTTAATCGCTGAAAAAGTGAACTGTATATGAATTGAATTCCAGTTCGCAAAATTGTCTCACCGAACCCCCAGAGACGGATTCGAAGCGTAAAAGAGTTAGTTCTACGGCATAAAAAGACGAACTTAAATGCAAGCACTAGGCCTACTTTTCAATTCATCGTCGACAGTATTGCGATGACAGCAACGGCATCAAGGGGTATTTTCTATTAATCTCTCTTTCAGACGTCCTCATTAAAGAATCCCCAAATACAAATGATGCAGCAATAACGTATAAAACCGATTTTGCCACTTTACGCTCTACGATATGCTGACTGATAAGTCGGAGTCATCCCGATCAGTCAAGTAAATGCACTCCATATCTAGCTTCTCGTTTCGTATCACTCAACTATTCATGATTAAATTTGCGAGAAAGGTTCCTCAAAAATGTCTAATTTCTGATTTATATCTTAGCACATAATCAGATCAACATGTTTTATAGGCGATAGAGTTTCATGGTCAAAACGGTTGTCTTATCTGCAGATGACTAAACAGAAAAGACAGTCTATTCATGTGAAATTAAACTAGGACAGAAGAGATACCATAACTGGACTTCATTTGTTTCTTAAAAAGATGCAACTCTTTCACTGAGGATTCAGGTGAAATACCTGATAGTGGGCTCAGCCATCGGCCAAGCAATGGAATAAACTATGACTACAATATCCGAAGCTACAGTATTTGGTACGTGCTTCTAAGTAGCCTTGACAACATGTCAAATGTAACAAATTAATTCTAACCATTTACGTACAGAGGATGGAGACTATAGCCACAAAAACTGGCTAACCCATTTTATCCTTCATACATAATATAAAAACTGATCATAGTTCATTTTAATGGAATGTTGTATCGAGATTGAAGAACAACTGTCAGCCGATTTTAGCTTTAAGTAATATTACATATTTGGTCCCAGTCAGCAGCAAGCTGGCTGCTGTCAATTATTACAATTTTTATTTATCACATGCCTAAACCTCTGGGGGACTTGGTTGCCTATTAACCCACTCGTCCACGAATTTATAATACCACACATACCAGATGAGAATGACCTTTTGTGATGACTGTCACATGTAACTTTAATACACAATCAGGCCCCCTCTGCT